TATATATATATATATATATATATATATATATATATTACTTAAAACCTGACGCTTTTTTTAAATATCATTAATGTCAATATGATATCACTACGTCTTATTTATTATTTTTTTGAAATTTTATTTTCTTAAGACATGGCGTTTTTTAATAAATTTTATCACATAACACAACGGTTTTGAGAAATTACCGAGGTGATATCATTTAATCACTTTACATAGAGCTAGCTAACTTGTCTCTTCAGTTGCATATTTTCATTTCCATCAAGAAACAATCCCTGACGAAACAACGCGATTTTCAACCCTAATGAAACTTACATCACCATTTCAACCCCAACGATACAAAACCAGTTTTATCCCTAATGAAACGTTCAACACCATCTTCAAACCTGAAGAAATAATAACATTTTCATCTGCTTTCATAGCATCGAGGATAGAGCCTACATCATGTTCTTCGTTCTTGACTAGCCTTCGATTTAGCTGAGGAGAAACTTTAAGATTCTGACAAATTTTTTTACTTATTCATCACATTTCTAATACGTAAACTTTTTCGTCTCATGCATCTACAATACCTACATTTTCCATTGTCATTTATGCTTATCTATTTGTTGTTCTTGATGTTTAATGTTGTTAATGATGCTTAATGTTGTTGTTGATGCTTGTTGTTGTTGTTGTTGTTGATGATGGTGCTTATTGTTGAAGATGCTGCTTATTGTTGTTGTTGATGTTTATTATTGTTGTTGCTTATTGTTTTGATGCTGCTTGCTTATTGTTGTTGATGATGCTTATTGTTGTTGCTTATTTTTGTTATCGATGCTTGATTATTGTTGTTGTTGCTTATTGTTGTTGTTGATGCTTGATTATTATTGTTGTTGCTGATTTTGTTGTTGTTGATGATGCTGCTTATTGTTGTTGTTGAGGCTTATGTATTTGTTGTTGATGCTTATTGTTGTTGTTGTTGTTGTTGAGGCTTGCTTATTGTTGTTGATGCTTATGTCTTGATATATGGCATCTTTTTCATCTAGTATTGACAAATCTATGCATACAAGTGAAACTGTGACAAATGATTCACAATCTTTAGTAGGAGAACATAAAAAAATAGCAAAGAGGTGCCACAATGATGGCTACACTAACAAAAATCTTCAATTCGGGTGCTAAACTTCCGGTCGAGTTTGGTATTGTCCATACTATTCTTGACGGTCCTAATTCTCTACTATTTAAAAGTTATGTTGCATTCCTTGGACGTAGCAAAGTGAGCATATTGTTATATGATTGGAAGGATGTATCGAATAAGGTGTAAAAAACCATAAAGACAGATGTTCATGTATTAATTTCAATTGCTATCGATTCGATATTACATTATATAAACACTAATACATACTAATTATTTTAAATGTGTAGTTATCGTTTGAATTTAGTGATGAGTCGAAGTTGAAAAAATGTGGATAACTTATGTTGGTACGGTTTGGAGGAGTTTTAAGTTATGGCTCACGAGTGACTACTTTATGAAGCCAAAGCCTAATATTGAGCACCCGTGGGTGAAGTATCCTTATCTTAAAAAGAAGGTTCAGGAATATTTTGTGAAGAATCGTAGTTGTGAGGAGTTCATGGTTAGTACTAGTGGTATTTTCTGATAATTTTATGGATAAACCGTGGACCTTAATCGTTTTTCCTATGTTTATAACAGGCTAAAAGTGAAGCGGAAAAGCTAAACAAGTCCAAAAACAAATACCCCTATAGACTGTCTTGGAGGGGATGTAGTAGACTTGAGAAAATCATGATTACAAAAAAAAGACAACTATGAGATGGAGACTCCATGAGACCAATCATACATATAATCACACCCTACCTCACAACGGTTGCTCAGACGTGGTTGTATCCCTTTTCCAACCATTATGGTAGGTGTTTTATGCAGTAGTGTGTGATATGTAGTTGTCCGAGTTTCTTTAGCATCGCTACCATATAGGGCTTTTAACACCATAATCTGGAGAGTTCAGAGGATTGTTAAATAGGTTCTAAATTAGACGCAAAATCTTGGAACCATGGCTTGACCGATAGCCAAGAGTTGCGGAATATCCAAGGGGTCCCTTTGAGAATCCTTTTTACGTCTGACAAATTATCCACACACACACACACACACACACACACACACACACACCACACCACACACACACACACACACACACACACACACACACACACACACACACACACACACACACACACACACACACACACACACACACACACACACACACACACACACACACACACACACACACACACACACACACACACACACACACACACACACACACACACACACACACACACACACACACACACACACACACACACACACACACACACACACACACACACACACACACACACACACACACACACACACACACACACACACACACACACACACACACACACACACACACACACACACACACACACACACACACACACACACACACACACACACACACACACACACACACACACACACACACACACACACACACACACACACACACACACACACACACACACACACACACACACACACACACACACACACACACACACACACACACACACACACACACACACACACACACACACACACACACACACACACACACACACACACACACACACACACACACACACACACACACACACACACACACACACACACACACACACACACACACACACACACACACACACACACACACACACACACACACACACACACACATATATATATGATATAATCTTGCCTCCAATTCTTTAATTTTTATGCCTTTAGGATTGCACCATATGCTTGATTAACCAGCTGCAATAGAATTTTTATGCATTGGTTTTTCAAAGAAAAATTTACAGTTTTTTAGTTTGCTAATTTTCTTAGAATTATTGTTTAATATCACTCTCATCCCAGACACATAAATCATCTTCTCTCACATTTTTCTAATTCTTAAAATGATATTCAATTTGATCTAACAAATTTTTGGTGTTATTTTGTAGGTTGTTGTTATGACTTCCCACCACATATTAAGGTGGCAGAAGTATTAGTGTTGGAAGATCTTGATTAGAGTTTGCAGTCAGCATTTTGCTGCATTGGCCTGAGTTCTGTGTTTGATTGTCCATGAAAGCTCCACAACCAAGAAACCCACAACAAGAAACCTCAAGAAACATAATAAGGAGGAAAAATAAAAGGGACAAGGGAGCAGAAAAGAGGGGAAAACACCAGACTAAGATGCCGAGAGAGAAAATGCAAGAAAAAAAATGTAGACGGGGGTGCAACACAAATCAGACCATCGTATGCACCCCAGAATCAGTTTACTTCCATATCAAATAATTCTATTTTTGAACCTCTTTATTTCTAACTTACATATATGTCAACTCAAGTACTTGTCCTATATCATTTTTATTCTGATTATTTTTATTGAAAATTTTTAATATTAATCTAGAATATCATTTTGCATTATATTTTAACTTACCATTTTAGTATTATTATTTTATTTGTTGCATCTTTATAAATAATTTGTCGAAGTCTTAGTAATTTATTTGTGAGGATAATTGATATAAAATTTCAGAAACATATTCAAAACCACTATATTACCTAATAAAGTATTGTATTATTTATTAGATTAATAAGTTTTCAGTCAAACTACTAGGTTGAAATAACATATAATATTTTTTTTAATAAGATCAATATATTGAAAGAAAAAGATACAACCATAGATAAAAAAAGGTGATCAAGTTAACTTTATCAAGAAGAGATAATCCAAATAAATGTAGGTCTAATCTATTCTTTTCCAAATCATTCCTAAGTCCCAAGGAATGAAGTCAAATACTATGGAGGAATTTGTGCTAAGAGCCATATTTGCAAGATAATTAACACATAAATTTCCTTCTCTAAAAATATGAGATATAATAAGGTTAGAATTAGTAAAATTTCCTATAAAATTAATTCAAGTGTTCCTAAACTTCCACTAATAGAAAAAATACTTTATAATAGAGGTTGTTAAGTCAGTTCACCTGCCACCTGACTTAAGAAGTGATGCGGTGACAATTTTGTAAATATTTGTAACATTGTTAAGTCAGTTAGATTTAGAACTGACTTAAAAAAAATAAAATATATATATATATATATATATATATATATATATATATATATATATATATATATATATATATATATATATATATATATATATATATATATATATATATATATATAATTTCTATTAAATTTCTTAAGTCGCTTGTGTTTATTAACTGACTTAAAAAAGAGATTTATTAAGTCAGGTATTCTCCACCTGACTTAAGAAGTTTTACATGTTGCACTGCATCGACAACATCATTTACAAACAACAAACCTCACGAACTCAGCTCCACTTCCAACCCGACTTGCTTTCATTTTCGTTTTCGTCTAGCAACACATAACAACCACCACCAATTTCCTCCCCGTCCTTCCTTCAACCAAAATCAAACCCACAACCAAACCTTAACAATAAACCAAAATTGAAACAGAATGAACAAAGAGAGAAATGGAAATCGAACGAATCAAAAGAGAGTTGGAATAGGCTTTGATGACCATAGAATAATCCGTTTCAATCCAAAGATTATTCCAATTTTGCTGAATTGCAACATCCAAGCACTTGATAACAACTAAACCAATTTGCCAATTTGCCAATGCCACAGCTTAAAACATCTTCAGCAAGATAAAACAAAATGGGTTAGAAAGGATCCATTTGTCTCACACCTGGAGAACACTTGAACTAGTCGTGCTGCACTCCATTGAAGTTGATAGAAATATTGGGAGAATATAAGAGAACAACAATCCAATCGCAAAACTATTTACAAAAGCTAAATTGCTTCAAAACATAAATTAGAAAGCACCACCTTATTGTATCAAACGCCTTGGCAATATCAACTTTAAAGGCCAAGTTTCCATGAGAACATTTATTATTGAGAACATTAATGGCTTATGAAGCGAAACAAGTGTAGCCTCTGATGTTTCTCCCATTAATGAATTCTCTTTGTTCGATGGAAATGAGCGAAGACATGAGGGAGGAAAGTCTATCAGCTAAAATCTTAGATATAATCTTGTACTTAAAGTTCGAGAGAGCAATAGGCCGAAACATATTCATAGTATCAGCCCTTTTGGATTTCTTAAGAAAAACCTCATTCATGTTAGCCCATGAGTTCTTAAGAAAAACCTCATTTCTATTTTGAATTTCTACTATAGCATCTTCTTTGCTACTTTGGATCTCCACAACAATGCCCTGCTGAACAAAAGGCTGAGTTTCCTTCGCACATTCTAACTCATCAGTACTGCTAATGTTTTCATCATCAGAGTGAGTGTTGTTATTCGAAATAGTGGTTTTAATCCTATAAGTAATTGGATTCTCTGCCACCATGATAGAATGCTGACCAACCAAATCAACATTGTTCGCATTTGTTTGTTGGCTTTTCTCCTCTGCTTCACAGCATTCTTGATAACAACACTCACTCTTACAAATCATGTAAAAGAAGAAGGAGCTGGTGCAGGTGAAGGAGATGGTCCTAGAGCCACTGGTCCTATGAATGTGCACATCCAAATCATGTAAAAGTTTATTTAAAATGGGAAGATCATGTCAGTGCGTATCAGAATTTGACACGACACTAATGTATTTGGATACATTCAATTTTTTATTTTTTTTCAAATAATTATTTGTGTCTATATGTAAAAATTGTGTCAGTCTTTTGTTTGTAGGAAGACTAGTATGAATTTCACATGTTTGAAAGAAAATGTAAAAGAAAATTTTTGTTTAGATTTTTTAGAAGGGATAATCATGGTGTTTTTTCGAGAAAAAAAATTGAAATTGAAAATTTGCATATTGGCATTACCATGAGCAGTGAAGAGGTGAAACATATGCCTTCAAAATAAAAAACTTTATCATCTTAGTTTACTATTGCGAATAACAAAACTTACTCTTACAAACAAAATAAAAAGATTAAAGGACTTGTTTTACCTTGCATTGAAATGGAACACGAGATAAGCGAAGGACGTAGAAGATATGATAATTTTTTTAGCTTGGAAATGGTATATCAATAGGTATGTGGAAACTCTTGTGCTTTCTCGGGCTAACTTGTGAACCCTATGTAACATTTAAGCTAATAGCAGTATGAGTGTATTCGATCTCCTTTGGGTGTGTTCTTACTCATCGGCCTAAATTGGTGTCATTTTTCGTAAGTCTTTTGCTGGGGAGATGTAGTTAGTTATCCTTTTTAGTGCTTTTGGTTTTTGCCTAATTATGTGTTCTTATTCTTGTATTGGTTTCTTTGTCTTTTGATTGGCTTCTCTTGGTGTTTTCCTTATATGTATGTTGTACTTGCTAAAAAAAGTACTGATGCGTGACACCCTTAGGCTTGTAGGGGGTGGCAGATACTTTAAGGAATTTAGGTGGTTTAAGGCTTACTCACGGTGGTGAGAAACCCAGTTCGACAGTGTTTGTTGTGATGGGAGAGCAAGCTCACGTGAGGTGGGGAGCTCTATATCTTTGAGATAGTCTGTGTGTATAATGACTTTTTCTACTCAACCTTAGAGTTAAGGTATTTATAGAGGCCATTGGGAATGAAATTAGGGTTTATCAAGAATGATAACCTCCCACCTTGTCATAGTAGAGGACTACTTAATCCCTATTTCTTAGGAAGATGTTGTTTATTCTATTGACTATGAATTATCTCTAATCAAGATGTGTCTTTTTCTAGGTCTCCCACGACGGGACGAGTAAGGAGTGCCTAAGGCAAGGTTGCCTTATTATGGGAGGTAGAGGGATGTTGCCCCTTATTGCTGACCATTGTCTCCTCTCCCTTGGTGGGTATTTACATTTAAATCGCTATGCACCCCCTCAAGCACAAGGGCTTAATAAAGTGAAAAGTTCATTAATTGGTTCATAGTCCTTAAAGCGAGAAGTCGAGTTTCCCATGCATGACATTAGGTTGGACCTCACCTAAGGAGATTCTAAGCCCCTCAGAGAAGGATTTTAGATGAATCTGTTCAATGGGACTATAAGTCTGTCAGGCGAGGTTGCATGTTGAGCCACTCTAACAAGACCCTAAATGCCTTAGGCGAGGCATTAAGTCTCTCGGGAAAGATTTCAGTCGAGAGCTTCAAGCAAGACTTTTTAAGTTAAGTATCTTGGGTTAGTCTTTGGTCTTGTCCCTTAGGCGGGACCTTAGGATGGATCTTGTATGAGGGGATTATAAGTCTCTAAAGCAAGAAGTTTTTATGAGTATGTTCGATGGAACTTTAACTCCTTCAGGTGTGATTTTACATTGAGCTTATGTGAAGAGACTCTAAGTCCCTCAAGCTAGACGTTAAGTCTCTTGGGAAAGACTTCGATCGAGTCCCTCAAGAAATAATTTTCAAGTTAAGTCTCTCGGGTCAGACTTTGGTCAAGTCGTATGGATGATACCTTTGGTTGGACCTTGTTAGAGGAGATTCTATCTACCTAAAGCTAGAAGTTTAGATGAGCATATTTGATATGACATTAAGTCCTTCAGGAGATATTGTATGTTGATCCAATCTAACAAGATTCTAAGTCCCACAGGAAAGGCGTTAAGATAAGCTAGCCCTTAAAATATAACACATTCATATTTCCCTTAAGGGAGGCAAGGAACTTTCTATGGAAGTCCGACATATTTACATTTTCTTAGGAAGTGATAAGGATCATCATGTGGAAGTCCAACATATTTATATTGCTTTAAAAGGCAACAAGGATCTTATTCTAAAACGTTCTTATAGCCTTAGAAAATGGCAACGATCTTCTTGTGAAAGTCTAGCATACATAATAGCAAAAAAAAAATATTCTGCTTGTCCATAATCTCTCAAAAGTATGTACGTGGGTAGGCAACATTCCCCTTCTTAAAATTAATAAATAAATTAACTGTAATAATATTTTAAACTAACGTAATTCCCAGTCCTAGGTATGAGATGCCCGTCCAATTCTTCTAGCTTCTATGCTTCATGTGGCACCTTGTTGAATATGCGATATAGTCATTCCCATTTTGGATGAAATTTTTCATGTTTCAGCCGTAGAACCACCTGTCTCAACACCAATCGCTCTCCTGCATATACCTTAACAATAATTTAGATTTGTATCTTCTAGGTGCTCTCTTTTTTTGGACCAAACTTATGCATTTGTACGACATCTCTTATATCATTGGTCAAATCAATGGAACACCTTAGCCACGTATTGTTTACTTTCTGGTTAAATTGAGATAGTGCCCATGAAGGCTTGTTGACCTCTACGAGAAGTATAAAATATGCTTGGCATACCATTGTGAAGTGAGTCTCTTTAGTATTTGAATGAGGCGTGGTGTGGTACGACCATAATATCTCATGGAGTAATTCAGACGACAACCCTTTGGCGTTGTCTTGCTTCTTCTTGATCCCTTTCAAGATAAACTTGTTTGCCGACTCTACTTTTCCCATCAGTCTGGGGTTGAAAACAGAGACAGTCTTTATTTGAACTACCAACTCTTTGACAAAAGTGAGTGGTTAGGGTATTGGCGAATTGTGTTTCGTTTTCGAATATGGTGATGACTAGGAGTCCAAACCTGCACATGATTTTATTCTAGTAGAATCAAAAAACTCTTTCTGATGTAATCTTGGTGATAGCCTATCCACTTGTAATCACTTTGTGAAATACTGCACTTCTACAATAAAAAATATTATTATCTTGGTGCCAGAGGGAATGGGCCTAAAATGTCGACCCCCACCTAGTGAAAAGGCTAGGTCGATCTCATGGAGCGAAATAGCTCAGTTGGGGCGTGATGAAGGTCAGAGTGTCTCTGACATTGGACACACTTCTTGATGAAAACCATGTTATCCTTTAATAGAGTAGGCTAATAATAGTCTTCCTTAAGTAGTTTTTAGCCGAGAGTCATACCGCAAATATGACATGCGTAGGCCCCTTGATGGACTCTGGCAAGGACTAAAGTGATTTCGTTATCCTCTAGGAACCATAGAATTGGGGAGGTTCTTCCTATTTGGTAAATTTTTCCCACCAAAAGGGTATTTTTAGTGGTCTACTTCCATACCTTTTTTCCATCCCTTTCATCTTAAGGGAGTTTGTCCTTCTACATATAGAGTAGTGTGAGCGACATCCAACTTGACTCAAAGGTTACTGGCCGATTGTATGGGCGGAAAAAGACTCTTGTATTACTGGTCGATTGTACCCTGTTGTCTTCAAGCTGGCAAGTTTGAAAATAAGGTCTTTTCTGAAGTTTTTCTCTCTAGGAACATGTTTTACTTCAAAATATTTAAAGCGTGTTGATAAACTTGTACCTTATGGAGATATTTTAGGAGTTGTGGTTCTTTTGCCTAGTACTCCTTGACAACATGATTGATGAGCCAAAGGGTCTCTCTGAACTTTCTTCAGATCTTCTATGGGCGTGAGCCTCTCAGTTGTCATGCCTAATCTGTGGTCCCAACTCGTAGTGTATGTGTCCTTTTCTTTGGAAAATGGGGCGGTCCCACAGGAAGGATCCTTTGTCCCCGTCGCTAGGTTACTCTAGTAACATTTTTAGGTGGTATTTTTATCTCTTCGAACCATCCCAACTCACCCACTAGGTAGTGGGTATTTCAGGACCAAGTATTGGGTGGATAAAATCTCCCATAAAGAATTAATTTTTTGCATGACAATGATGATGTTTTATGGTGATAAAGCATTCACTATGATGTAGTTGACTTCAATTTCTTTGGAATCTACTCCAACGATGCAGGTAGTCTTTAGTGTTATGTGACCCCTTACATGCACCTGTTCGTATTACATATCTATTAGCAAACCCTGAAACGTCTTATTGTTAATGGGATCAAGTTGAGTTTCTAGAAGTTTCTCCAAAATAGGATGGAAGCTAAGCATCCTGAGTTTATCAATACTCGCTTGATATCCTAGTTACAGTGTTGCATAGTGATGACCATGGGTTTGTTGTCATGAGGGACGACTATGATGGCGTCACTATTAGAGAAAGTGATTATGGAACCTAGTCCTCTCCGCATAGCTTTGTAGAATCCTGGGGATATTATGTTTGTTTTTAGCACCCGTCGAACATATTTCTTCCTGTGAAACCTCTGTCTATGGGTGTAACTACGAATTCAGGATTTTTCTTGGCAATTTTCAGGAGAAGGCAATGAAAATGACACTGATGATTGAGGGGGTGGCCCGGGTTAATTTTATCGTGGCATCGTAGTAGGTTCCATTGTACTTTCTAAAATTTACAGATGCGTGGCACCCTTAGGTTTGTATGGGTGGTTAGAGGCTTTAAGAAATTTAGATGGTTTAACGCTTACTCGCGATGGTGAGAAACCCTATTCTATGGTGTTTTTGATGATGATAGAGGATGCTCACGTGAGGTGAGAAACTTTGTATTGTTTGGGACATTTCGTTTGTATTATGACTTGTCCTACTCAACCCTAGAGTTAAGATATTTATAGAGTCCAATGGTTTTGGAATTAAGGTTTCTCGAGAATGATAAT